ATGTGGGACTCGATCCCAGGACCCTGGGATCATGACCTGAGCCGAAGACAGACGCTCAACCATCTGAGCCACCCAGGCGCCCGAGATCACTATTTTAAAGATGAGGAAGGAAGTAATTTGCCTCATCTGCAGCTTTATTATAAACACTCACCTGGGAGGTTGTTGGTTTACCCAATTTGACTTAAAGAGAAAACAAAGAAGCAAGATGTTACAGGTGACCTTGCGTGTGTTCCTCCAGTGGAGAGAGCTGGGAAATATGTTTTCTGAGAAACAATATAGCTAGAAAGTAAATGAGTCTGAGTCTGAAAGTGAATACATCCTAGTTTACAAACCATTGTCCTTGTAGTCTGAAAGTGTGGCATCAATGTTCCCTAACAAATAATACACAGTTGCCACTTAAACATTTCAGGACCTTTTAGTTGATTTTCGGTGCGATTTCTGAGCTTTTCTCCATGAAGGGAATTACCAACTGGAAGGATGCCCAGAGCCACAGGGTAAGGGGGTGTAGCGCTGACTGAATACAGTGGCCTGGCTGGTGGCTGACTGGACTTTCTTCTCTCCTGGTTCTGGAGGTTTTCATTGCCCGGAATCCAGATGGGACATCCAAAGGTTGAAGCCCATTGAAGTTAGAAAGGTCTTAGTTAGAGGCACCAGGGAAAGCTTTGATCTACAACTCAGATCAGCCAAAGATACGAGTGATAAATCACTCAGAAAGCAACAATAACCTACATTTACATTGCACTTTCTATGTCAAGAACTATTCATTTAATCCACACGAACAACCTAGTGAGGTAAATACTATTACCTTCATTTTTAACTGATAGATCAGTTATCGTTTGCTGTATAACAAACCACCCCCAAACTTACTGACTTCAAACCACACGCATTTATTTCACTCCTAAATTCTGCAGATCAGTTGGGCATTTCTTCTGGCCGGGGCCAGACTGGCTGCTGTCTGCAGGTTCACCCCGTGGCTGCCAACAGCTGGTGCATGGGCTGACTGCTGTATCAAGACTGGCCTCCTCTACCTGTCTGGCCGCAGGCATGCTCTCGGCTGGAGGACACAACAACTGAGCTGTGTTGTCATCACACAAGGCTTGATGGCCCTGCCTTCTTCACGTGTCAATTAGGGTTTAAAAAAGTAGCAAGAGAGCAAACCACACACACAGTGGGAACACTTTTGAAGTTTCTGTTGTGTTGTATTTGTTGTTGTTCTATCGGCCCAAACAAGTCGTGTGTGGCCACAGCCAGAGTCAAGGAGAGAGGGGATGGAAACCAAAGGACCCGGTTACAGGAAGGCATGAGCCAAATGGGAGTATTTTTGAACAAGCTACCGAAGATGAGGGAACTGAGACCAAAGAGAATGCCAGATAACAGGCTCTCAATACCTCAAGGAAATGAAACAGCTATCTGAATTAGGATGGATGAAGATGTAAAGACTGAAGTGGCTGATTGTTAGGAATAAAACCCATAATCCTCGGGGCGCCTGGGTGGCTCAGTCTGTTGAGCGTCTGACTCTTGAACTCGTCTCAGGTCTTGCTCTCAGAGTTGTGGTGAGTTCGAGTCCCATGTTGGGCTACTTAAAAAAAAAAAAAACCATAATCCTCAAGAATGAGTGGGAATTTTACATGGGAAAACAGCCTTTGAGAAGCCATTAACCATGATAAGGGATATCCTATTGGGGTTTGGTCTGCAAAGAAATTGAGTAAAAATTTATCTGGGATTTGGGTATTTCTTAGCCAGGAAGGAGGGGGCTTCTAGGAGTGAAGATGAATAAATAGGGATTGTACAGGAGAAAAGTGACAGTCGGTGGCAGGGATCCTGTTTATCAATAAACTCTAGTCTCAGGTTCCTGAAGGCGAAATGCCCTTAAATTGTCCCAGTCCATGTCTCCTTACCCATTCCCAATGGAAAATGCAGTGAGGAATATCTGGAAGAATTTTTTATGTGAAAAAAACAATTTACAAATTGTATTCTGTCATTCATTTTTATTTTTTTATTCAAGTTCTATAACCGGTTACTTTTACCTGGAGTCCCCAGTTTTCCTCTCTGGCTTGCTAGAAAAATCTTGCACAGACTCAGAATCCTAAGAGCCTATGATGAGCTGAAAGGTGCATTTGTTTTTCTTTGTCTAAAGTACTTTTACTTGCTCTTTAAATATAAATTTCCCTACAAATTGTGGGCTGATTTCTGTGGCTCTTGTAGACTACACATTCAGGCAGACATAATGTGGCATTTTGATTCATCTAACTCTTCTTTATGAAGTCTTCAATATCCTATCACAGGACAAATCTACAGACCATCTTAAGCCTTTCACAGAAAACCTATTGGCATGCTGATTGTCTGGGGACAGCACGGAAGATAGTGCAGCCCTCCAGGACTGCATTATATACACGCAATTATAGAAAGGAGGCCTGGAAGAATTTAATCTTATGTTGAGACTGCTTGAAAATTTATTGCCCGTTCATGTAGGATTGGCATGACAATATGAACAGTGAATGAGTCAAATTTATCTATTAGCAGGGACAAAAGACTTCCATTTCCTTAGAAAATGATTGCGGACAGGGGCGCCTGAGTGGCTCAGTCGGTTAAGCGTCTGCCTACAGCTCAGGTCAGGATCCCAGGGTCCTGGGATGGAGCCCCGCATCGGGCTCCCTGCTCAGTGGAGGGTCTGCTTCTCCCTCTCCCTCTGCCTGCCGCTCCCCCTGCTTGTGCTCTCTCTCTGACAAATAAAATCTTAAAAAAAAAAAGAAAAGAAAATGCTTGTGGACAGAATACCTGCTCCTCCAAACTCCTTCAATTGCTGCCCAAGAATTTCTAACCAGCGTGTCCCATTAGTGTTTAGGAAGGAGGGATGCAGACAGTTTATTCCTAAACCTACAGAAACTCCTGAAGAAAGATCCCAAGCACAAAGGAAGAAGTACATACAATCCTTGGGCTTCAGAGAAATGAACAGGTGGGAGAATTGCCTCAAGTTGGATTATCCAAATTCCTCTTCCAAACTGGGCCAGTAGAAACAACTTTGTGCTCTTGGCATTTCCAAGTTCAGGTTCCAGCTTCAGTGAGGACAAAGAATTCCTTGTTTACACAAAGGATCCACAAGGAACAAGATTTTGTGCCTTCTCTTTTCTACCACCCTTCCTTATTGTGGACATTCTTTCTTCTTTACAGAAGACAGCATAGAACTAGTCCAACAAGGTTGAGTATGAAGACAATTTTCTGAGTCTCAATAATAAGGAGGTAAACATAGCTTACCAATGGAAACATTCTCAGAAATCCACTTAGCCCCATGTGTTAGCATCTCTTCTCACGACATCCTTACAGTGAGTTTTCCAAGGTAAAATCATACAACTGCTCAATAATATCTTTATAGAAAATAAAAATCTTGCCCACTTAGTCAAAGGCAAAGAGAAAGATCAGGCTGTCTCCGAGAGAATGGTCATGTGAACAATGGGTTTGCACCCAAAGGGCTTCTGATGTGGAGCAGGGAGATACTCTGTACTCTAAACTTTGTCAGGGAATATATGGAGGGCCTTGACTTCCCAGACATATGAAGGAAGAATGATTGGAGGAGAAGAAATCGACTTGGAGAACCTTGTGAAAAAAAGTGGAAGCATCAAACTGTCTTCCAGAAGTGGCACAGAAAATGGCTCGTCACTCCTGGCCCAGATTTTCAGGTATATTCTTGGTTCTGGTCACTATTTCAGGAAGGATTGGTGGGGCAAGAGTGGAGTCTTCTTCAGATCATCCATTCATGAAAGCATAGCTTCGTGGACAAGTGAAGAAAGGCTGGTACCTCCGGTTATATTGAAAAGACTGAGGCGAAGCAATCCAACTTGGAAATTCAAAAGCTTTATTCATCTTTGAAATATCTACTGAGCAAGGCACTGTGGAAAACAAGGACCAATCAGACATAAAATCTGTGCTTGTCACGATTATGGTGTAACAAAGTAAAAATAACTTGTTAGAAAGTTAACTCACGCCACAAGTGGAAGAAATAACATGAAACTAGGAAAGTGGTAAAATGTATTCCAGCTGGAAAATGTTCCTGAGCTGGCTTTTGTGGGACAGGTAGACCTGCAGAAACAGGGAAGCAAAACCCAGAGAGAAGAAATATCATGGACAAAACTTCAGAAACGGAAAACCTTCAGGCACTTACTAAGAACAGCTGGTAGTATGATTTAGCAGACTGAGGGGAAAGTTAGATGTAATTCATGGGGACTTCTCCCCCGCAAAATGGGAGATAAAGTACATGTTTTCTCCAGCTTGTCTGATTAAAACGTTCCACACAAGAAACTACTGATCACTAGAGTAGTCAAGAGCAAAAATCCTAAATTTGGAGAACTCCAAGATATCTGATTTGTATACTGAATCCTCCCTACAAATTTCCTAAGAGGTTTAAGTGATTGTCTCCTACAAGACTTCTCACCCTCAGCACTACTGGCATTTTGGACTGGATAATTCTTTGTTGGGGAGTGCTATCCTGTACACTGCAGGATGTTTACACAGCATCGCTGGCATCTATTTACTAAAAGTCAGTAGCACCCCACACTCCAACACCAGGTATAACAATAATATCTCCAGACAGTACCACATGGCCCCTGGGGAAAAAAACAGTGGTCTACCCTGAGAACCACTACCCTTGCGAACCACTGGTCTACCCCGAGTCTGTATGTCAGATGATTGTTCTCCTTGCATAAATAGAACTAAGGTAGGAAGCTAAAAAAGTCTAGTGTCTGTTTTCTTACAGAAGCATAAAGCAAATATCACTGTTACAAAATATAGGTAGGACATGTCCTATAACTCCATTCATTGTTATAAGGAAAAGTAAATAAAACCCAAAGTAGAATCATAGACTTCCATAAACTGTGATTTCTAACCACTCTTCCCGGTCCAGCTCATTTACTGGACAGACTTTCACAGGAATGCAGACAGCCATCCTCCAGACCATCCTGGTGTTGGCAAGAGATGGACTCTTGACCATCATGTATTTAACATTCATAATCATGTGTGGCCTAAATATTGTTATAGTTACAGAAACTCTTGTGCAAGTTTTAAAAATTGTGAAAGCCAATTTCTAGCTTTGATGGTACAAATTAAGAGAAAACATTGATATCTAAGAAAGTGGTGGTTCTCAGTGACAAAAAGATTTACGAAACAAAAACGACTAAAGTACTAAATTTTATGCACGTCTTTACTCAGGAATTCTGTCTCTCTTTGGTGAGATGTGGCAGCTTCTTTCTTTCACTTTTTTTTTTTCCTTTTAATTTTAAAGGGAATGAGGGTGGGAGGGGGGACCTATATGTACAATCCTATAGAAGTACCTATTACTTTATCTTCTTAAAAGGATTTAAAACTGATTCTTTCACTTAGTAGGTTCACTATCTTTCCTTAAAGATTTAGCTCTAAGGAATAAATGTCAAAGTGTCAAAAGTCCAATATCATCTGATAACCATGGTAGGTACTTGATGCTAGGAGAAATAAGATCATTGTAGTGGTAGATAAGTTTTTCTTCATGTACAATTTTAACAGTACATTTAAGAGTTGAAAGGAATTAAGCAATTCTGGTTATAATTTTACTGCCCGTTAACAATAGATTCCTTATCTATGAGAGTTGGCAGGCAGGCATGGTCTTTTGAAGGAGTCATAGATAAAAATTACCAAACCCACTGATAACAACTTGGTGGTAACTTTCTCTCTTTTTTACTTCAAAGGTGTCCTTGAATGGCCATTTTGGACAAAACTGGTTGTGGTGGCCATTGGCTTCACGGGAGGTCTTGTCTTCATGTACGTACAGTGTAAAGTCTACGTTCAGTTGTGGCGCAGGCTGAAGGCCTACAACCGTGTGATCTTTGTGCAAAATTGCCCAGACACTGCCAAAAAGCAGGAGAAGAACTTCTCATGTAATGTGAACACGGACATCAAGGATGCCGTGGTAGTGCCTGTATCACAAACGGGTACCAATTCCCTGCCAGCTGCAGACGGCGGCCCCCCTGAGGTTATACCAGTGTGACGGGACCAGCTGGGAGCTTCTTCACTGAAGAGTATCTTTCTAGCCCTTAGCCACTACACATGACAGAAGTGATCCTGAAGTACTCACTCCCTTTATCTTCTCTTTCTCCTACGGACTCATTTTTCCCTACTTTGCTCAAAAGCAAAGGACCAAAACAACACCAAATGACCAGGATCCCGTGAAGCAGTCCACCCAGAGTGTGATACGGAAATGTGAGAAGTTTGCTAGAGAGTGATTTCTAAGACAATTAAGAGCCACTGGAGCAAGGAATGCTCGTAGGCAGTGACGAAAGCCTGAATGGTCACACACGTCTTCACAGGAGAAAGTTTCAGAATACAGACTTGAACTGCAATGTGTGTTTCTTCTAAGGCCTCGTCATGTTAACTGTCTTCATCTGGAAATAAGAAACATACTAGGTTTTAAGCTTGAAATCGTCTGCATTGTCCTTAAGTCATATCAGAAGCAAACTTGGAGGATGCATATTTTGATATTCATACTTTGACAGCTAACAGATTTTTATGGCTATCGTGGAGTCCAGTTGTTTTACCAGATGCATGTTTTTAAAATAGATGCAATACACATTTGAAGATATTAATATTTAGAATTATGTTCAAATCATGAACAGATTTTCAGAGTTTTTGGGTGTAATTAATGCTGTTAAGTACCCACTGAAGCTGAAAGCAACTATCAGGTCCTACATTTTATCTGGTCCCCGTAAAACAGTGTTGCCCAACAGAAATATAATGTGAGCCACAAATGCAAGCCAGATGCCTACATTTAAAATTTTCCAGTAGCCCCATTAGAAAAAGTAAAAATAAGTGAAATTTTCATATTTCATTTAACACTATGTATCAGGTTAGTTCAATGTCATGAATATTAAAAATTAAGGTATTTTACATCCTCGTTTAGGAACCACAATTAAAAATCCAGTATGTATTTGACCTTTACAGCGTATCTTAATTTGAATTAATCATATTGTTTAGCACAGGCCCTAAAATTAAAGGCAGAGCCTCTGCTCCACTGAATATTTCACAACAGCAGCTCAATTCCTTCTTTTATTCAAAGTCTCACAAATGTTACAGTTTTATACAGCACTAAATTAATCAAGTTAAATAATGTGGTTGGTTAAGGAGTTAGGTGAACTTACCATTTCTCTAGAGGGTGAAAAAAATGAAAGTATAGAAAGATACAATGATCTACATGTGGCAAAGTTCTGAAATTAACTTGTTTGCTACTATGAAGCACATATGCTAGGGAAACAAAAATTAAATATTATTGTTAAGTCAAATGTGTAGGGCTTTTTTTTTTCTTTAATCCACATGTGGTATCTAACTTGACAGATGAATAGTTATGACTAAGCACTTAGACTATTTTAAAAAGCTGACAGTATTTCCCTTGCTCAGCTGGGAAGTAAAGATATTCAACAGATTTTGTGATAAGTAATAAATTGAGTTGTTTAGGTTTGGCAGTTCAGTTGATTATTGTGTTCTTTGCATATTCATGTAAAACTGAAGCGTGAATGTTACTGCAGTGAGCTAGATTAATGATTATAGAGTTAGTGACCCATGAAAGAAAGATGTCTCACATTTAAAAAGGTGATTTTTTGTTGTTGTTAGCTGTCATATTTATTATTGTGAAAAGGCAACCATGATGGCCCTAAGAACCAAAGCATGGGTATTGCATTGCACAAACCCGGGTATCACATTGATGCACTTTGTAATTATCAGTGTGCTTGTTCTTCATGGATTATCATAGAAAAAAGGAAAAGGAAATAACCTTTTAATGTGGAGAAAGATATGAATATTAGTAGTGGCTGACAATGAGTCCAAATAGTCCCAATTCATAGAAATAAAGAAAAGGTATACAATGTCAAATTTGTATGTGTGTGTGTGTGTGTGTGATGTGTGTGTGTGATTTCATGTGTGTACATGAGAAAAACATTAAGGTTTTCGGCCAGTCAGGAAACAAAAGGTTTAAAACTCATCTTTCTTAAAACTTGCGGAGGGTATGGACTAAAGGCACAGGGAAAACAAAGCTGAAGTTACTAAAGTGTACCATAATTTCTGCACAACTAAGGACATACTTGTAATAAAAAATCTATGAACCTTAAACAAACTAAACTTTGTATTAACTTCCTCTTAAATTTCCATTTTAAAGGTTTTAGATAAATATTCATGAATAGCTAAGCTTTGGGTGATTTAACCATAGCACCTCACCCAATAGATTAACCTGGATTCAATTTTTGTTAATTTTCCTAAGCTTTTTACTAATCCATTTTTCCCAGAGCTTAGCAATGGAAACGTGTTGTTTACAAATATTCCTGGGGGGGGGGGGGGGGGGGGTCTGGGGGTAATCTGTCACCAGCAAGCAATGAAATCTTGATTTCTCTTTTGTTTGCTCTGAAAGGAAAAGGATTATTTACCTTAATTACCACCAAAAATACTGTTTAAATTCTGGACAGACCTAAGCAAGATAGGTAAGTGCATAGCTCATTTCTCAGTAGGAGATGATTGGCTAAAGTAGGCCTTGTTTATTAAAGGCTACACTTAACACTAAGAAAACATTTCTAGAATGAAAAGTAAAGATAAGCATTACTGTCTTAACCCTAAAATATGACACGGTGTTTTAATACGATACATAAATTCTCAAAATTAACTTGTACAGGCTTTGACTTTCTTGTAATGAGAAAATAATATAGCTCCCTAGCAGGTTAAAAGTCAGCTTTTTATTCTGCTATTCTTCTGCCCTTTACAAACCCTGAACTCCTGAATTTAAATCTTTTATAGAAAGTTTTCCTGCAATGGCTGTTTGTGGTTCAAACCATTGGAAATAATGATGTGCATTTAAAACCTAATACTGATTTTCTTTCCTATTTGTGCGGCAACTGCCCTTTCAATGAAAGGATTTGGCTTTGTGACAATACTTTTGTGGACTGGACATACCCTTCAAAAACTACTCTCCAGAAGGACAATTCTTTTTGAAGCATGTTTACCTGCTCACGTAAGAAGTAAAATGGAAATGAATCAAAGGACTGAAATCGAAGAATGAACAACGCAATTCTGTTAAAAACCCTGGCTTTTTATAATCATGCATCTGGTAGTACCAATACCATAAACCACAGACATTTATGCCGTTAATTTTTAAAAGAACTCTCACTTTCATTGTATCAAAGACTGAACGGTAAAGGAATGAAATCCCAGTGTTTTTTTCTTTAAAGTGAAGTCCAAAAGGCAATTAAGCTTAAGAACAAACACAAGCAAAACAAAAATGAAAAAAAAAAAAAAATCAAAGCAAAAATGATCCAATAAACCTGGGATACAGCAATGAAGAAACTGAAGATAGGTATATACTGAAGGAGTCTCTCAAAATGTCCCAGGATTAAATCTCACTCTGAGCTGCTATTACATGTGATTACTGTCCCAGACAGCCGAATTTATCTTGTTTTGCAAAAGGTCCTTAGATACCCCTAAAACTAATCTATTGTTTGGCTGGAAAATTAGCTCATTAGAGCAATGACATCATTAAGACACTCTAATTGTCAAGGGGGTGAGATGGAAAAGATTACTGCATTCACCTGACAGTTTACCTTTCCTTACCTTGCCAGTGAGTATTTTGGAACAAAGTAGAGCTCTTTAAACTTACTATCATTATTGTAGTTGTTATGTTATAATTGTATAGGACTTAACTTTAACTAAGAAAGATGAAAAACCTTTTTTCTTTCCTTAGGTCAGCCCAAAGGTGCTATTTTACATATCAATACAGCTCAAAGGAAGTACTGTTATTTTGGGCTGCAGTGTTTCCTCCAAATCTGAAGAAAGCCCATTTTGAAATTGGAGATTGCGTTTAAACAAACAAGGAAAAATTATTTTAACTGTGTGCAATTTTTGAGATTGAGCATTTGTACTTTTTTGGTTTTACCTAATTCTCTTGCATTAACAACTTACTGTTTTGTGAATAATGTGTACTAAGACAAATTAAGGAAAATAATTATCTGTGAAAGAGAGACTTTGTATATTAAACAAGTGACCTAAACTTTTGTTATGGTTTCTATACTCTTTGGCTAATTTACCAGGATTTCTGCAGATATGTATCTGCAACATTCAAAAATGCTTGGGTTCTTAAGATTTTATAATAGTCTGTGTTTTTAAGCAGGGTCTGAACATATTCATATTACATTAAAGCCAACATAGACTGACCAACCCTGACATTATAGAAAGGAATAAAGAGGTGATTAACAAGGAAATACTTTAACTCAGGGACAGGGCGATGCAGGCAGAGGGAACAGTAACCAAACTCCTTAGTGGCAAGTGGCAAGATTCAGCTACTAAGGAAAGAACAAACCCTTGTTAGAGTCTGACAGTTTATTACTTACAGAGATAGCAAAAGAAAGGCAAACTGCCAGCCCCCCGTGAGTCTTGTCCCAAGGGAAGACACAAAAAGAAGGCATGATAGATCAAAGATATGATAATGCAACATAAGGAGCGGGGCACCCTGGTGCTGAGATGCTGATTCCCTGTTGCAGCTAAGCAAGTCTGTGGCCTGCAGCTACACCCTAAAGGGCCTCACAATGGAATGGTCTCATACTTCATCAAAATCCAGAGGCAAGGACAAACTGTCTCACATGTCCTCCTGGAAAGATAGGGAGGCAAATGTGAAGTGGCCCTCGGTAGTTCCTGCAGGTCCCATATCCTTGTGTTCCAGGAAGCTCATAGGGCATTCATTCTAGGGCTCAGGTCAGCCTGAACCAAGCCTGGCCTACGTGGACAAACACAAGGTCATCAGGGTGCCAGCAGAGCTGCTCCACCATAGAAACTAGCTTGGCCATGCTAGGAATGGACGGAAGGCCTGCGATCTGAAGTACAGTAAGCCAAGCTGAGGTTGGAGAAGCAGTCAGGAATCAAATCATTTCAGGCCTCTTTGGCCACGGTAGGGAATGTGAATTTCATTCGAAATGTGACAGATTATCAGTGTAAGTTCAGCAACTGTAATAAATATGCCACTCTGGTGGGGGATGTCAGTAACGGGCGAAGCTATGCATGTGTGGGGGCAGGGGGTAGAATCTCTTTACCTTCCTCTCAATTTTGAAGTGAACTTAAAACTGCTCTAAAAAATAAAATCTCAAAAAAAAAGTGGTTAGATACAAAATTATACCCATCAAATAAACATACCATGAAGAACGTGACAGAATGATACTGTAACAATATGAACAGAGGAGGAGCATATTTTAGTGTACATTTCCAAAAATTCATGAGCAACTCTGGAGAACGGATTCCCAGGACCAAGAATGGTGGCACGAGGGCGAGTGAGGAAGCAAATGGACACAGCACAGGCAAGACATGGAGATGGCCTGACATGGACTGATTTGACTCTCTTTTTGGAAATAGAACCAGAAATACTCACTAATTAAATTAGATTGGGGAGGGTGTAGAAAAGAGAAAGAGAAGAATCAAGGATGATTTACAGGCAGTTTTCTGGCTTGAGAAATTAGGTGAAAAACTTGGGAGAGATTCAAGGTTCCTCAGGAGACAGTAGGGAGTGAGATCCAGAACACAAGCAGGAGTATTTGCCTTTGAAAGAAGAAAAGCGACTACATTCACAAAATCGAAAGAAAAGAAAATGACAGTTTGTATTTTCTCAATGATGCATATAAAGTGAACAGATGAATGTCGAAGAGGCAAATATTAAAGATGAGCTAGAACATGTGGAAAAAGGTAGTGAAAGAATTATCTCAAAGTTAGAAAGGGAACTTATTACAGGAATACAGTAAAATTGCTCATCAGTACTGAGAATCCACTTGCGATGTGCAAACGTGAATGCCTGACATGCTGTCTGATATTCTCCAGCAACGCTGAGCTGCTTGGGAACAACAGGTATGAAGGAGACAGATAACTAAGTGTTTTTCAGTTTGAGTTTTTAAAGAGGAATACTATGCAGCCCGGGGCAGAGGGATTCAGGGCATATGCAGGGAGGCAATTAAATCTGAATCTCAACAAAATCTGAAGCAATAATTGAAAACAGGAGATAGGTGGTGCACAATGAAAGAAATGAGGTCAAAGTGTGGAACTTCAGCAATGGAAGGGGATGGGAGATAGTGAATGGAGAACAGAAGAGTCCGTCAAGTTTACAGGAGTTTCAGGAGCTGATAAGGATCTGGGTGTGACCACGGGTAGGCCTCTGATGGGATGGAGAAAAAGACTGGGAAAGGTAAAGGTCACCATGTTAGATTTGTTATCCACAAGGCTTCTGGAATCAGTAACATGATTGAAATAGGAGAGAAGAAAACTGAGCCAAGAGCCAAAGTCGTGGAATGGGCAGAAGGTTCTTCTGGGAGGTGAAATAACAAGGAAAGGGAGACAATGGCAGAACTTAAAAGAACTAAGAGGAAGTGGTGGTAGAGCAAAGAGGACACCTATCTAATCTCCTGCTCCAGTAGCACAAGGGATATAGGAGTAGAAAAAGCTTCTATTTGAGGTGAACAGAATCCTAAAGAGATGCTTATGGTCTATGTCGGTGAGGCAAAGAAGTGACTAAGGTATTAGGAAAGAGATCACCAGTGTCAGAGTTAGGTGCTTTGAGCTTAGAAATGTACAATTAGCCCATATCCATGCAAGTTCAGCTTGTCGGCAAATGATGGCAAGCAGGCCAAGCCCAGCCTGCGGCCTATTCTGTGTATGGCCATGAACTAAGAATGATCTTTACATTTGTAAAGGGTGGTAAAATGCACACACACACACACACATACACACACACAAATATGCAACAGAAACTGCCATTTGGGCTGCAATAACTAAAATATTTACTATCTAGCTCTTTACAAAAAAAGTTCACCAGCCCCCGGTTTGCACAGAACTGCCAACCAAGTGAGTTGCTTTTACTCTGTTCCGTGGCCACAGACTGCAGAAGCTATCTTACAAAGACATACTACTGACCAGAAAAGAATCTAGATAAGGCAGCACAAGTTATCATTGCAGAAAAAACATGTTCTACAGACAATGATTAAGGATATCACTTAAAAGCATTATTTTAACAACAAATTATGACTGTTACTGCCACATTATTTAATGATATATAATAAAATGTGATTATGAATTATAATTATTATCCTAAATGGTAAAGTAAATTCATTCATTCAACAAGTATCTACCTATTCTAGTTCCAAGCAGTGTGCCTGTTGTCTTTTTTTGCTTTGATGGTACAGGGAAAACTAGGAACAAATGTCTGAGGGGGAGGATGATCTGCCATTTTCTTATTTATCTAACAGTATGCCTTTTTAAATATCAGACAGGATAAAACAGTTTCTATTCTTTTTACTATAATTTAAAATTCAGTTTTTATAGCCATTTTGAAACAAAAAAAAGGACACTTTCTAATGACTAAAGAGACTGAAACTTCTGTAACCATAAAGCCATATTTTTATGAAAATTACTAAAGCAAATCAGCATCAGTTAAAACACTGAAAAAAATGAAATAATTAGAACTTTAAGAAATGAAATTATGAAAATAAATTTTATTCTTAATTTTCAATAATAAAAAAGCTGTAACATTTTAAATAAATTGTTAATAAGACAGTTGATATCTAGTTAACCTCTTATAGCATTAATGTTTTGTATTTCTTTTCTTGAAAATACTCAAATATATTTGCATTGTATTCTTTAGAAAACAGCCTAAAAGATAATTGCCTTTTACGAGTTCTACGAAGAACAACATTCTAACACATCCATGTCTTTCATGATACTTGAAATACTGAGTTATATGTCATTTAGCCTATCTCTTAGAAGAATAAATAACACAAATAACACAATTGCAATAACTGATTCTCTAATCATTAGTTGTTTCCACAAATAAAACCTATCATTTTTCATGAGAAAGCAGAAAATAATACAGAAACAGAGTTACCTGAAATCATTTATCCCCTCGATCAAAAGATAACAGATTAAGTGTGGGAGACCAACATCATGAAAATAGACCCCAGTTTTTTACTTTACCATTTAACTCTGGCTTAAAGATAATAAAAATAACATACAATCTATCAGTGTATATTTATTCCCTATCACATTTTCCTTATTTTACAAGGAAAGAAAATAGGTGTTATGTTTAAGAGGAAGATTAGTGAAACACTATTACTGAAAGCCAATTTAGCTATCATCACTGCTCAAGAAGTATCCATAGGACCCTTACAGCAAACTCGTTGCTATACAAGCCCCAGAATGTGAGATCAGGTGATCCGAGGTAAACATGAGGAAAAAAATCAAAACATTTCTGTCCTCATTCATATCACTCCCCCTGCCCGGGAAATTCAGATTAAATGGATCTTAGATTGTGCTTTTATTTCACTATATCTATTTTAGCAACTGAATGTAAACGAAAAGCAACATTCATTTTTAAATGAAAATCGTAACACTGTTTTTGAAACTGCAAATGGGATTCTCATGATGAAAGAAGTTTCATACCAAATTCTTGTATCTGGACAGTTATTTACCATAATCAGGTCAAACAGAACTTGAAGCTCTCCAATTATTTGCTTTCACCACAAGCAAAGGACAATTAGGCCACTGCTGTCATTTCCTCATCTGAATCACTTGATTCATCTTTTAGTTCCAGTTCCCCTAAATCTTTGTCTACAGCTGTAACAGTTTTTTTCTTACACTTCTTGGGGACTGCATCATTAGCACAAATTTTTCTCATTTTAATGTTTGGCAATTTCTTCAGATCGAAATCCCATTCCCTAAATAAACAAAAGAGAGAGTACATAGAGAGGGTTGCTGGGGTGCAAGACGGCGAAGCAGTCAATATTTAAAACTCTGAAAGCAGCAGAACAAAGCTTATACATTTATTGCAGATTCAAATGCCCTAGAAACAAACACTATATGCATTAGGGAAAAAAGTCCCCAGAAGGAAGGCTTGCATTGTCCGTACATATTGCATCTTCTCATTAATCTACAACAGCAGTAACTGCACAGAGATTCCCACATATCCCAAACTTCCAACGCAGTACAGGCAACTATTAGGCAGCAGTGACAAGGAGGCTCTGCCATTGGTTTATTCTCCCTAACCTGATCACTCCATCGGGCCATATAGTATCAAGAACCTCAAAAGCAGTAACTACATTGTACTCGCAAATCTCCAAAGTGCAGTCAGAAACGATTTAACCTTTCACACTTGGTGGGAAGTCAAAGTTTCAGTAACCAAAAATATGTTATTGTTACAACAGAAATCATCTTTCAACCACTGAACTAACTAGTTCTTGACGACTTAACCTTTTCTCTGGTATCACTTCCCAGGAACCATCTTTTCCAAAAGAGCGTGCTGTGAACAGTCTAGGGATAGAACTCTGAGCCATTGAGCCTGTTGCTGTTAATTTATCTTTTAAAAAATACGAACTGGGGAGGAATAGTGAGACCAAGTTCTTTTAAGTATCATATTAAGGAATTTAAAGGCACCATGTCGCTATCATGTCAGTGCACATCACGTGTTCCAAATAAACACAAATTAGGAAGTCTTACTTTGATAAAAGAGAAAAGGTTAAAAGAAACCCCTGAGTTTTTTTAGCTCTAATGTCTAAGTACAAAAGGGAAGAAAGTTTATGTCTCATGTATTTTACATGCAGCCTCAAGGGATAATAGAGAGAGACAGACTTACCTAAAAGTTCTCAGATTACCTGCATTTACAATGTCTGGAATCTCTGGGAAAGAAAATAATTTATATCTATTAAGCAGTGTTCTTTAAATCACAACATTTTACAGTTCTCTTGTTTATTATCTCAGATACGATGAATAAGTGACAGACAGCAAGAAAATCCAAGCAAAACAAAATTTCAAAGCACTGCTATAATGCTATATGAAAAGTAAGGGCTTAGTTTAAGAATGTGATTTAAGAGGAATGCTATTAAATAATAAATTCTAGCATAGAATCTGTAAAATGAAATAAACCTATTAATGAGATAAAACCCTGTCCTTTTAATCTATGAAAGGCACATAGCAATTTCTAATGATCAACCCCCTAAAATAATAGGCTAGATTTTTAAATATATTTTCTTGGTGAAAAGTACAATTTTTTTTTCAAGCATATACTTCACCTTCGCAAGGTAGAGTTTATCTGAGAAACAGAAGTATTCTTTAATATTTTTAAAAATCACATTATTCAAAATGTGAAAAAAATTTTAAACAAACTATAATCAGTAGCTGCTCAAAGCAACTCAATAAAACTTAAATCCATTTTTAATAAACTAGGTATTTAACAGTTCCTCACTATGATTAGAAAGTTTACCATAAACCAATATGCACGATCATAGTTATTGGTAAAACACAAATGGCATGTATAAAAAACTGAAACAGGACTATGCAATAAAACACTAATTAAAATCAGAATCAATGAATGAAAAAGATAAAATAAAAAGGCTTGACACAACTATATGCTGATTATGACTATAGTTTCAGAAAATATGAGTATGAGGGGGTCAAGTGTTTAAAAGGTATAAATTAAACACCATTTTTTAAAAAGAAATCCTAATAAAATGAGTCAGAAGTAGTTATACTACCATGGGTTGAGGAAGGAGAGGTGTCAGAATCCAGTTTTCTCTGAACCTGCAGAATTCGGTAACAATTTGCCTATGTTAAGAGGCACTTATGGAGTTGTCAGAGATCACAACCCTTTCACCAGACACACTCCCTGACTCTGGAAGAAACACTGTGGCACAGCTGGAAGAACGCTGGATCTGAGTTTCTGTGCTGGCTCAATCACCAATACATGTTTGACCTTGGCCATGCTCTGTTAATTCATCTGCCAGCTACGTGGTGAACAGACTCTAGGAGGAAAGAGTAGTTGCACAGAGACCAACTGGGAGGCTGTTACAATGGAACAGGTGACACAATGGTGGCTTGGACTAGGGAGGTGGTGGTGTTAGCAGCACAAATTTCAGATGCAAAATACATTTTGCTGACGAGCTGGATGGAGCAGGAAAGTGACTACGGGTTTCTGGCCTGAGCAACTGGCCAGGTGGTGATGCTGCTGTCTGACATACAGATCATGTGGGAACAAGTTTTAGGAGAAAAGCTGGACTTTGCTTTGGGACGTCAGGTCTGAGATGCCTAGAAGACATTCAAGTAGATTCTGAGAAACCCCAGTTTGATAATGCAAGTCTGGAGTTCTAGGGACAAGTTAGGGTCAACAAATACAAATTTCAAAGTTATCACCATGTAAATGGTATTTAAAACCACAGGCTGAGTGAAATGAACTAGGAATTGGTATACGTAGAAAACAAGAAGCAGCCCAAGGATGGGAACCTTGGCCAATATTTAGTTTGTGAAAGTGGAGGAGGATTCAACTTAGAAAACTGAACTAGAAAGAAAATTAGGGAAGGGCTGGGTCTTCTTTACCAAATGAAAAGTGTGACAAGAAAATGAAGTGATCGTCTGTGTCAAATGCCGCAGAAAAGTTGAGAATCAACACCCAGTATAGCAACTGTTCGCCTTAGCAACTTAGAGGTCATCAGTGACCAGTATTTGTTGGGTGACGGAGACAAGAACTAATTAAAGTGGGTTCCAGAGAAAACGCAACAGGAGGAGATGGGAGATCTAGGAGCATAAAGCAATTTTACGTTCTTACAAGGTGACTACTCAGTGAAAGGGACACAGACAGCAGTGCTTGAAGCTCTCCCCGAACCTCCTTGTATTAGGTTGTGTCAGGCACTTTGATAAATGAAACCTCATGTAACTTTTAAACAACTGAGGAAGTAGGTATACTATTTATTTCAATTTTTAAATTGAAGAAAACAAAACCCAGTGGGGGGGAGGGTTAAATAACTTGTCCTGTTACACAGTAAGCTCTAAAGGTTTAAATCATACCTATCTAGTGCTACAGCTATTTTCTGTTATTTTTTTCAGTGAAGCAGCTCACTTCCTAGAAATGATGAAGAGGAACTGCCAACCAACTACTTCAGGGTCTCTCGTGTTACCACAGTGTAAGTGCCTGACACGAAGTTTTTGACTGTGTAGACATCCGTATCAAAGACACCCTTCTCTAATAAAAATATTGCCAGCGGTCTGACACACTACCAGCAAAACAACTAGATAAGAACCCAGGCCATGCCCACCCATCAAAGTCCCCTTTTAGAAAGCCCTAGTAACCTACTAAATCACCACTCAAGTGACCCCACTTTTCCCTTCTCATGCCCTAACTCCCAGTTATGTTTTTAATTCACCAATAAAAACAAACTGGGGGTTCTAGAGGGGCGGGGGGGTGGGGGATGGGTGAGCCCGGTAATGGGTATTAAAGAGGGCATGTTCTGCATGGAGCACTGGGGGTTATACACAAACAATGAATCACGGAACAATATCAAAACACTAATGATGTAATGTATGGTGATATAACATAATAATAATATAAATTAAATAAATAAATAAGCAGGAAAAAAAAAGTGAACATGTGAAACCCCAGGCACCTCACCTTCAGACCCTAATAAAGGTAGAGCCCCAAGTCCATACTCCCTTCCTCTCTCTACCCTTGACCCCCCTGTGTGGCCCTGGGCATGCTATGGACCCTCTAGACCTTGTGAGTAATAAATCTTGGCTTTTCTTTTTTTCAAATTTCCCTGACGGTTGTTACTAGACGCATCCTACAATCATAGTAAGAACCACAAGGGCTGCACCAGCCACAACATTGGCTCCACTTGGGGAAATACCTATGGGGGCTCAACACAAGTACTAGAGGCCCAGGTGAGTGCCTCAGGAATTTCTAGCTGATAGAATTGCCATCAATAGGCTGGGACCAACACAACAGTTACCCACAAGATATTTCCTTTAGGGTCCTAATACTTCAGTGTTTTTATTATCAGAATTTAAAAACTTAATTTGCGGGTGCCTGGGTGGCTCAGTCATTAAGCGTCTGCCTTTGGCTCAGGTCATGATCCCAGGGTCCTGGGATCGAGCCCCGCATCAGGCTCCTTGCTCAGTGGGAAGCCTGCTTCTCCCTCTCCCACTCCCCTGCTTGTGTTCCCTCTCTCGTTGTGTCTCTCTCTCTCTGTCAAATAAATAAATAAAATCTTTAAAAAATAATAATAATAAAAAAATAACTTAATTTGCTATTAAATATTTCATTTATACTGTACTTATCAAGCAAATCCACATACCATAAATGCCATAACATGGACCAGAAATGGAATGTGAGTGAAGTAATGTTCAGGGCCATGGCAAACTTGAAAATATATGATCAAGTCTAAAAGGGACAGCTGTTACTCCATTACAGGCAGATTATGTTGCCAGACCACTTGAATTTTTTTTAAAAAGCACAAAATCTACATTTTTCATGTGAAATTGCCAGATACTTCCTAGACTGACAATAAAGAAGTCAATCAAATACCATTTGCATGCCATGTTGCCTCTGGATCCTCACCTGTTTGTGGGCTTTGCAAGCCTTAAGTATCCTAAGTGCTTTTTCTTCAGATAATGTTGATAAACTAACAACATACTTGTCTTTAAGAATGGTAAGAAATGCTACAATGCTAAGAATGAATGTTTGATTTCTAGTTTCTCAAGAATAACTGCAACAACTATAGATTGGTCCTACAAGAATTAGAAAGATAAGAAGGGCACAGCACCTACTCTAAGGGAACATTGATGTAGTTACAGATGGGCAAGTAATAACTCCACAATAAAGCAAATTAGGAATGTGCCAGAAGGGAAAAGAAAACTTTACTGTCAGGGTGGAAAGATACATCACTATGACAAGTGACAGTTTTGAGAATGTAAGAAAAAAAAAGAATTAAAAAATTATTTGATATACTCACAAAAGAAAGGAAATCAAAAGAAGAAATTCAAACTAAACTAAATATTTAGAATAAATAAAATTAAATCTTTGAAATGAATTAGAAACCTGATATGCCTATGTATTTTAGAAAGAAAAAAAGAAAGTCACAGAGAACACACCAAGGCCATATCCTTCATACTGTTGTCGTTCACGCTCCATTGTCTGCTTGATGACTGTCTCCCGGGAATAGTGCCGCCTTCCCTGCCTGTCTCTGATGCTGTTATGTAATTCAATCTGCTCTAGTTCACTGCTGAATCGATTTAAATACCTGAGAAATAAGAAAGCAATATGAGTTACAAGTCTTACATTTGGCTTACATTACCCCATTTAAAACAAACCCCAGCCTTCGCCTATCCTTAAAATTTTTATACTCTTCTGAGTTCCTCGTGTCCTCAGACTTCAGACGGTCCCTGGATAACCCAACCATGTCCAAAATTTCAGCAATCAGATCACTGCCTGCTATTCAAGTATCTGCTAAACTCCAGGATCCTCGTATTCAACCACCTCCTGGACATCTCCATTTGGATGTCCCATGGAGGCTTAACACCTCAAAAGTGAACTTGTGCTCACCTCTGTCCCCTCCCATCCCCCACCAAACCTGTTCCATCTCTTTGGCTCTCTATCTTAGGAAATAGTACAACCATCCACCCACTTGCTCATGTGAACAATGTACACGTCCTCCTTGACTCCACTTTCTCCCTTTAATGCCATATCTAAGTTTTCACTAAAGATTGAGACTTTCTACCTTCTTAATATTTCTGGAATCTTTATTTCTCTTCACCATACTGCTACTAACCATGCAGAGGCCAACATCATCATCTCTTGCCTAGATTGTTTCATCAGCCTCTCAACAGTGTCCTGGCCAAAGCCATGTGCCCTCAGGCCATCATCATCGTTCTCACGACTGTGACATTTCTAAGGTTTAAATATGATCATCTCAGGTGCCTGTTGTAAAAAACTTCTTGTGGCTCCCAATGTCCTTTGAAAAGGTCCAAACTCTTACAGTGATACCTGAGGTCTTCTGTGAGCTGTACCTGTCACAATGCCCTCCTTGAACCTATTATTTTGATTATATTTAATGTTTGGTAGATCACTAAATCTGTCACTCATACCTCTGATACTGTTATCTCTGCCTAAAAGCTCTTCAATTAACTTTACCTCAGTCTGCTAACCCTTACGCTTCAGAAGTCAGTTTAGATGATATTTCCATAGGAAGCCTTTCCTGATCCAAGAAACTGGGTTAAGTAACAATCTGAGGCTCAGAAACCTTACAAACCTACTAGAGTGGCTAAACCAGGGTGTGAATCTAAAGCCTTTTGGTAACAAAGCCCATTTACTCCTCTATAAATCCAGAACAGAACTCTGTCTCTTGAAGAACCAGGTTGCAGAATTCCCTTTTCTGACACTTTGCTCACAACATACCCAGTGTTTACCTTTCAATTAATTCACAAGCATCTCTCTTTGAATATCCTACTTTTTGGGGATCAAGATGACTTTGAAACCACTGCAGTTTTTCACCTATAACAACAAGTACAAAGTACAAAGATAGGTTAACACCATAAATCATCACTTAAGCAATGAGTATTCATCATAATTTTCAACATCAATGTGTTTAAAATACTATCAAAATTTATTTCAATGTTAAATATAAAGGCTTGCGTGGGCTCAAAGCTAATTAAACCAGTCTGTCAGAAATCAAATTGTCACATTTTAATTTGGGGAAGAGACAGAGATGCCTTTCAGTATGTAATTCTTATCCGATAAGGATGCATTAAAAAAAAAAAAGAATACATTAACAGAACATGAAGTTCTAAGTATTTAAAAAGCAAAAGACAGAACACTTGTCTAAAATAATAAAATGAAAACTTGATTAGACTAATGGCGAAGATGGTCGTTGCTGAACATTTAATAAGCAGCAGGCTCTATGTCAAGAGCTTTACAATCCTATGAGGATTAGTACATTATTATCCCTATTCACACATGAGAAAGGTTAAGTGGCCTGTCCAGGGCCTCAAATTAGTAAATACATTAACCATGCAAGATCTGCCAGATACTATGCAAAGAGTAAATCTGACCATCAGGGTCTCTTGCAGTTAGATTTCTCAATATTACAGATCAAAAAACGGCTCTACCTCAGATATGGATGACCTACTTAGAAATACTATTCTATTATCTGAGAAAGCATTAGAGATCGGTGTTCAAGTAAAGCCTAAGATTAAAACAGAACAACAAACAAACAAATAAATAAAGCCTAAGAGTCATTTTTTTTTTTTTAAGATTTTATTTATTTATTTGAGAAAGAGCGAAGAGAGAGAGAGAACGCACCAAGGGAGAGGGAGAAGCAGACTCCTCACTGAGCAGAGAGCCTGACATGGAGCTCCATCCCAGGACCCTAAGATAAGGACCTGAGCCAAAGGCAGACACTTAACCAACTGAGCCACCCAGGCACCCCTAAGAGTCACTATTTTGAAGTCAGACTTATAAGTAAAAATTTACTAACAATAAATCCGCCCCCTCCCAAAAAAAAACTGTGACACTGAGATACAGACTGACGATGCATGTATCCACATCACTAAATATAAACTGCTGTTTCCAAAATACTTAGACCATAATCCTTCCTAATTCTAATGAGTTAGGGAGCTAGAATTAAACTTCAGAGATAGATAGACAGAGATGTAGGTAGGTAGGTAGGTAAATATAAACTAAATAGTTTCTGAAAAACTGAGCTAGATATTATTAACACTATCTAAGAGCTAATGACTGATTTTACTTTGTTTTGTTTTAATTAAGTCTAGTAAAGAAAATTCCCTAGAAGAATCAAAAGAAAAATAGGCACAGAGCAGAACTTCACCATGGGGTTAGCCAGAGCGTCAAATGAGTAAATCTACTTACCAATAAGGTTGAGACGCAATGCCTTTTCATTCTTCAATCTTGGGGAAAAAAGGTACATAATGTGTTAGAAAATTTCCAAAACAAATTTTAAAAATCTGTCAAAAACAAAAAAAACTGCCCACAGAACCTTAATTCAAGGATCATTCTTTTATACATATGAAATTAATTTTGTTAGTGCAGAAACATTGAACACCATGCTTTTCTTTTAAATCACTGGAACAAAATGTTACTAGAAACGTTTCTTTAGGTCTTCAGTGACTAATGACTAAATAGATCAAATCAGTTTTGAAAACACAAAAAAATCTGATTGGATTATGAATGTTCAGGTGGGTAATACTTGTGCACAAGAGTAATGAATACCTTCTAGAAGACAGAGTGCGGCCACCAAGACCAAAATGCCCTAGTGTCACCTTTTAAACTTCAACAAGAACAGAATGTTTATTTTTCATAATTTGAAAAGAATTATAATAAAGAAAAAGAACTCATTTATTCTCAGGAAACAGTCTAGGTAATACATGATTTCTATTGTTGGTATTCTAAATATTAATTCAGAAAACACCTTTGGACAGCTAGTTTCTGCCACACTTTATGCTACTCACTAGAGATACAGCAATGAACAAAAAAAATCTACTGTCCCTGACTAACAAAGCAGACCAGATTCATCCTCCCACTTTAAACAACTAGAAAACTGGAGAAATAAAATGAAGCCTTTTTAATAAAAAATTTCAGGCACAGGGACGCCTGGGTGGCTCAGTTGGTTAAGCCTGTGCCTTTGGCTCAGGTCATGATCTCAGGGTCCTGGGATCAAGTCCCGCATCGGGCTCCCTGCTCAGGAGGGAGCCTGCTTCTCCCTCTGCCTGCCGCTTCCCCCTGCTTGTGCTCTCTCTCTCTCTGATAAATAAATAAATAAAATCTTTAAAAAAAAAAAATTTCAGGCACAGAATGGGGGAAGATATTCACAATACAAATAACTAACAGAGGATTTGCATTCAGAATGTACAAACACTTCTTACTACTTAAGAAGAAAACCTAATACCAAAAAGGGCAAAAGATTTTACCAGATTTTTCATCATATCAAAGACACAGAAATGACCAATAAGCACATAAAAAGATACTTACACATCATTAGTTATCAAGATGTACAAAATTAAATCAAACTAAGATACTATTATACAACTACCAGAATGGCTAAAAAGTTTTTTTTTTTTTTTTTTTTTT